GAAAATTTATCATAATACCTTGTTGCCTTGTCATTTTCAATATAAAACCAACAAAAAAATAACAAAACCGATCATTGGTTTTAATTTTATAATAGTTACAATCATTTGTAAACGTAACATATAGTTCACCTTAAGGAATTTCTTTTTTCTTTTTCGTTCTCTTTAAGTTTTACCAAACCTAAATCCAAACTAATTTTAACAAGTCTACATAAATCATAATTACCTCCTCATTTTCTCCGCTTTAATAACTGAAATCGCAATAAAAGAACTGTATGGTGATAGTAGTTCAGAATTTTTTAATAAGAAAACTATAATCGTTAAACAATTTTATGTTTTCTCATTTAATTTATTATTTGTAGCAAAACAACAAAAGAAAGAAAAAAACGTATGAATGCAAATACAAGACTGGTTTTTATCACTTGGTGCAACAACATTTGTTTCCGAAAGAAGTAGCACATCTCCCAGATGTGAACCCAGCCTTCCTACAATCCGCCGCACATTTACCATCACCGTACGTCGGCGAACAATTGATCTTACACATATCATCAATTCTCTCAGAAGGTTTGATCTCTGCATGTCCACAAAGTCACCACATATGAATATCGTATATAATCATATCAACGTTCTTGCTTTGAAACGATGAAACCTAATCAGAAAACATTACATGAAGCCAAGATGTTGTAACTGGACAAAGAAGCTACTATTATAATCAAGTCATCGAAGTCTTGGTGTTGCCCATTTTCTTGCTTGAAGTATTAAACTATAAAGTCTATTTACAAAATATGTTATGTGAGTTTATATATTGTAAGTAGAAGCTATATTTATAGAACATAAAGTTTTTTGTGATTGTCAAAAAGAAGTTTACAATTGATGGATCTACCATATATATTAATAAATTTCTATTTTGACTAAAAAATATTTTTATATACATTGGTACATGTATATGAATCTTCACATATACTAAATAAAATTTTTACAATTACTAAAGAGATTTTTTTCTTAATTATTTTTTTGTTTTCAAAAACAACGTTGACCCGGATCATATATCATATCGAATTAGGTTAAAGAACCGGGTTCAGAGAATAGCAAAGACATTTGGTTTGAAATAAAACGGTTTCTTAGTTATGATTTATTTTCTTTTTTGACAACTATTGATGTGCTTAATACCTTAAAATAAATTCGAATTATTGCTTATGTACTCATCCGTGGCTTAAGAAATTGGAATGCCCTTGGGCAAAAAATTGTTTTTGGCCTTTTATCTAATTTATGCTAAAGAAATTCATACATAATTTGGCATGTTCACAATTGTAATGAAAAAATTGAAAACTGGACCAAATGTTATTTTAGGTCACCTATTCTACTACTTGAGCCCACCACTCCACACTTGTTTGGGTTCGGCTCTAATACCACTTGTAACACCCCGGCCGTCAACTCTTAAGTGGGCCCCATGTTCACTCTTATCCCATGGCTCACCTCTCTTGCTGGACCTCACGTTCTCTCACTAGGCCCGTGAGCCCATCCATATCTGACGGTCGGTTTCCTACGTCCGGCAGGCTTAAAGACTTGTTGAAAAGACCCAACCCGTTTGTTTTTAGCATGCAAACCGGATTAACCCAATTAATTCAAACCAACTAAACCAACTAAACCGGTCCTAGTCAATTTAAACCAACTAAACTAGCTAAACCGGTCCTATTCAATTTAAAGCAATTAAACCGAACAAATCAATTAAACCAATCCATTCAGCAATAACCAGCGGAAGACTTAAC